TGCACATACATGTTGTGACAATTACTTTTCAGCAAGGAGCAGAATATACAATCCAGATGTCAAATAGATCCTTACAAATTATGGCAGTGATAGCAGTGCTCTGTATGGGAAGTTTTAGTCAGGTTCAGTTGGCATGGATAATATTTTTTACAGTTAAGAAAGGTGTATTTTGCATATTTTACATTTTAAGCTTACAACAAAGTGTGGCTTGAAGCAAAGTAAGTGTGTATTTAAGAACACTTTTAATGCTGGCTGCTATGGGTTTGCTGGGGGATATGGATGCCAAAGACGTCTGGACATTGTTGGAGATAGAGTTAATGTTTTTATTCAGAGTGAAAATTTAAATTTAATACAAAACAAAACAAAAAGTTGTGTGTCACATGAGAGTATGTTAACAAAGCTGCAGCCTCTAAAGAGCACAAGAGGATCCAGTTCAGCTGGATTGCTGTATAGACAGGAGCCCATATGGCCAGTAGAAAATGAGTCAGCCTGTACCCTTCAGTAGAAGTGGAGGAGGAGCTGGTTTACAGTGAGGATGATAGTTTTGACTCAACTGAGAATAAGGTGATGAGTAGCCCTCCATTTTGAAGTGTCCAGGAGACTGGTTGAGATTGTAGAAGTGGAAAGAGAAGAAGATATGCAGTAGGGATACAGAGATTGGAAATTTAAACTGGAAAATCGAATTTAAAATAAATAATTTTTAGATAGTTCACCCAAAAATGAAAATTTGCCTAAAATGTACTCACCCCTTCAGGCCATTCCAGATGTAGATGAGTTTGTTTCCTTATCTGAACAGAATTGGGAAAATTTAGCATTTCATCACTCTGCAGTGAATAGGTGCTGTTAGAATGAGAGTTCAATGTCTGATAAAAACATTACAATAATCCACAAGTACAAGAAACAACTCCAGTCTATAAGGTTAACGTCTTGTGTTTTTTTGTAAGAAACAAATCCATCAAGTCATTTTTAACGTCCAGCTATTATATGAGTCCTCTGTCTATAATATTGCTTTCTATAGTGAAAAAGTTGTCTCATCTGAATCAGGAGGCAATGCACCGTTTACAAGCAAAAACAGTACACAACAGTTCTACATAAATATGTTGGTGAATTTTGATTTGAGAGGACAACAGGGGATGAACTTTTTCACCATTGGAAGCATTATTATGGATTATGGACTTATTATTAATGTTAATATATTAAGAAATAGTGTAGCAAATATATTGCTCATTGTTAGTTAATGATAGTAAAGGCATTAAGTGACATTAACTAATGGGACCATATTGTAAAATGTTACCAGATTTTTCTAATGAAATATACTACTACTACTACTGCTACTGCTAATACAAATGAGATAATACAAAAGAATAATTTTAACTGGGTTCTGACAAGTGTCGAAGAAATTCAGGAGATACAGTAACAGAAACAGTTGTAGAAATGCTGGTGGTTTTGAAAGGAAGTGAACCTGTTCTGATTGCCTTACATGAGCTGTTATTCACATTCAGACACAAACCAGAAAGCACAGATGTGAGATACCATCTATAAAAGTGTGAATCAGAATCAGCAGTCAGTGCAATGTCACATGCAGAAGGGTTCAGGGGAATTTAAATATAGGTATACTGTATCTTCTTATGGAGTGTCTTTGCAGTACGTTCCTTTGACTAAAACTATGCTACATATGTCTAAAGCTAGTAATCACAAAACTAACAAACTCAGTGATTCTGCACTTCATTCTCATTGGGAAGATAAGACAATAATTTTATAAAATATATATTTAGATATGTATTAATCTTTTTGTTTATCAGTCTAGCCATATAAAAGTGGCACTTTAAGTAGAATAATCTTTCTTAGGGTCTGCTGTAAAATTATGGGCAGGACACTGAAATAGATGTAATTTATGCATGGTGTGTTCTAAAATTCATTTGTGAAGCTGGTTTTCTTCTGCTTCCTCTCTGCGGGACTTAATTGGTTCTGTGTGTCACAACACAGTTCTGGGAGTATTTAATGTTGGAAAACTATGGCAACTTCATTGCCTACTTACATTGGGAAATTCTGCAATATTGGTATTTATTCAGAACTGAGCTGTGTTTTAGCTATATAATACATAATACAAGTCATACTGGTTACCTAGCTTGTTAAAATGAATGACACTCCCAGTGCTTTTGTTGCAAGAGTCACATTAAAGGTTTTCAAAATGGAAACCCTAAGAATCTACAAATGAAAACTACAATTTAATTAATTGATTAGGCATATTCGTTCCTTGCAAACCACTGCCTTATTGTGAAAAATAATTGAATACCTTGTGCAGTTTGATACTCATATTGTTCTTAATAAGCCATTAAGAGAGACGTTTCTCAAAATCATGTATATTCATCAAAATCACTATGTCTAAGGATAATATTTAATCATAATCTTAGAATGGAATTTTTATGCACTGTTTTGTATTATATTTAAGGTGGTTTGGGGGACATTAAATACATTTTAGTTTAGTTGTTTCCATTTTTTTTATAATTGGTTTTAATAATGCTAATTTAGCTATTTTTACACACATAATTTAACTCTTTTATTTTTTTACTGAAAAACATACACTTTGTATACTGTGTACTTGGCATATATGGATTTATGGCCCTGAATGTAACATATCTAGTTGACTTACAATGAGTAGTGTAGGAATAAAGCAAGCTGTGTAAACATGCTACACAGTTTGAAATGAAAGGCAGCCAATTCTCCACCTGGCAACGTTAATAATTAGTAATGACATTTATTTGTCTTTACTTTGTTCCTCTGAATGGAATAAATTTCCTTCACAATTCCTTGGTGAAAATACACTTATGAATATATTCATAGAGGTTTCATTCTGCAGAATTTTCAGTAGCTGGATATGAATACCGAAACTGTGTCCCAAACCTATTCGGATGAAAACTGAATAAACACAATTGATGTGTGTTTGGCTATAAAGTCTGATTCCTGAATCCTGATGAAAGGGTTTACAACTTTATTGTTCCAAGCAGTAAAAGTTCCAAGCTGACAGTAAGCCAATAGAACCTCCATTTTATTGACTGGTTAAATATTTTTTTAAATGCATGAATGAAATAAAATAGAACCCAAACAAACATTGTTTCATGATAAACACATCATCACATCTCACTTTATTTCGATAGTCCACTTTAGACATTCTACTAACTATAAGTAACTTTGTAACTACATGTCAACTAATTCTCATTAATTTGCAACTACATGTCTACTAACTCTCAGAGTAGACTGTTAGGGTAGGTTTAGGGTTAGTAGAATAAGTTGACAAAGAAAGAGTTCACTCAAAAAAATAAATTGTTGAATGAACGTGATTTAATCGTAGCATCCATTATGCATCCAATCAAATCAAGTAAACTTGGACTGCTTTGAATTTGTTATATGTACACAAAATACATTTGTAGATTAAACATGATTTTGATATGTCAATGTAACTTCTTTGCAACTAATTGAATCAAAATGTTTGTATTGTGTTAGTCTAATCAAATTTATTCTTATTCACTCAATGTCGGTAAAGCACTTCAATTCAACAAAATTCTGCCTTGTTACATCAACTAGTTAATGTCTTGTTCATGTATGGTTTTGGTAGTTTAATGAATATCTATCTTGTTGTTTCAATTAGATTTGTTTTAGATGACAGCACTAAGAAGCAAGACATTACCAAAAGTTCAGTAATCTACAAAAAAAGCACAGAAAACATGCAAACAATTTAAATGTTTTATTTTTTTCATTAGGCTTTAACATGCACCAATTAAGTTTAAACTGCTTTCTTCACTTTAAGTCTCTTATCCATTTGAGTGTTTGTTACACAACGTATAAGAAACATTTAGCCAACAAAATCTTGGCTCATGAGAAAACCGATCCCCAAGCAACGCTTATAGGACTTTAACACCGGTTTGGTCTTAAAACTACTTAAAAATTAAGCCTTGCTGTGATGATTTCACATGAAAATTTTGATAATTCTAAATTACCAGTGTATCTATGTTGCTTCACATCTGAAAATAAGAAAATCACTCCCAGAAAATATTTGTAAGTGTGTAACAACTTCTTCAGTCAATTGTCCCTTTGGTAAAACAAGCTCACTTACTCCAAAAGCTTGTTTTTGAGGAACTGTGCCTTGGATGACAACCTCTGTCCATTTAGATTTAGAAATATCTTCTGCAAGACTTCAAAATTGCATTTGAGTTCTGGTGGGTAGCTCAGGTTCAAACAGTATATCAGTCCAAATAACAGAGCACAAGCCTGTGCAATGCTACTCAAGTCACTGAGGACTTCCACACCTTCAATTAGGACACCAATGTCCTGTGGGTCATCGTCAGGCAGCACTCCCTCCTTCAGTATAACATACACTCCCATCACAGTTTGCTCCATGGTACTTTGTGACTCAATGTCTGAATCCTGTGGGACTGCCTCTTCTGCCTTTCAGATCAATTTAAATCTTTAGTATGGGTTTACACAGTTTTGTAAATTAGGCCCCAAGAGAGCTCAACCAATATGAATAAAACATTTATTGGTTTAGTGCGTCAACCAATTCACATAAGTACTTTGTCATTGTGTACCATCAGTTTCCTATAAATTAACAATTTGTCCAGCTCAGTTATTTGACAAAGTTATGTGTTCTCTCATGTCACATTTTTGTTGTAGCAAATAGGGAAAAACACCGAATAGGGAAAAGTACAGAATATATGGCCTTATTTTCTCATTAACTCACCAAATATACCTCCACTAATTTTTCAGGGTCTTCATTCAAGTAGGTGCACAGAGACTTGATCACACAGGCTCTTCTGGTATGTATAGTGTCATCCTGTGGGGTGGGGACAAAAATTAACTCAAGCTTCAGTGGTGGCACAGCTTAAGAGTACTGTTTAGGAAGAAAATGCCAAACTACATCTGTATTGAGAATGACTATTAAAGCCATTTATCAATACAAACCTTGGAGATGGCAAACATGAGATGGCTAACTGTGTGATGTTTTTCCGGATTGCCCGCCTTTTCTACTGAAGATCTCAATCAATCGTGTTGACGTCAGGCTCAGCGAAGAACGTAGAAAGCAGTGGTACAGTAGAAATCCGCAAGAACTCCCTATCAATCTGAAAAACATTGACAATGCATTTATTAACTCTCATCATAACAGAAGGATGAAAATAAAAAAAAAGCTGTTTTAACATTTTTTTCTATCAGCAATGAGAGAGTTAAGACATGATGTACACAGCCATCTAAATATGGTCTACTCTGTTTTTTGATTAAAAGTATAAGAGCTGACGTGAGTTTTAAGTCCTGCTCATGTCTTAAATGTGCATGGACAATTTAAATATACACAAACATAATGATTGCTGCTTCCAAAACAATGGTTTAGTTTATAATGCTTAAGTAATTTGTACCTACAACTCTCCTTTGCAACACACTGCCTGCACTGCCACATACGCGTCACTGAAAGAGAAAGAAAAGGACTAGTTCAGTAATCAAGGATAGTTAGTTATACATTACTGTATGTGAGTGTTAAGAAAAACTACTTACCATGTAATAAAGGTGAGGTTCACAGCAGAAGAGCATGGGGACAGCTTTACATTGTGATGTAGCCTTTTTCTTTTCTATTCTTTTTTTTTTGTACGGAAAAAAAAGGAACATTTCCGCTGTGAAAAAGAAAAAGAAAAAAAACTGCAACAAATTTACTCTAATGTGTATGCTAAGGCCAGAAAACAGAAAAACACACAACAAGCAGTATTCTCCTAATTTCAAAGACTGACTTTAAAAACTGGGCCAAAGAAAATTACCACTACTGGCTGCTGTTACTAAATATCAAGAGTTTTACTTATATTTATAACTATAATCCCCGAATAAAACCATGCATACCTATTCAATCATAACTTTAACTGCAATTTTTAAGGACATTTCAAATATATGATCGACTGCATCATAGATTTTACGCGGTTTTACGTTTTAATAAACGATTTTATTTTTTTATGTGGCATTTTGAAACGCTATGTTTGAAAAGACAGACATGTCTAGTGATAGAACGTTTAAAGTAATATTTTACTGATATAACGTGTCACATACGAAGGGCCAGGCCAACGTTAGTTAATTTGGCTAATAACAACAACAGTCCCTCTGTTGGCACACTAAACAAAACCTCAACAACAACAAAAAAAAGCCCTATAAACGTTAGCTAGACTGAAAAGAGCGATGAGAAGTGCAAATTGATTAATCGACTCTACATTAACTTTATCTCCCGTTTTCCCCTCCCATTGTTGGGGTAATGTAGAGTTCAGGTTTAACGTGGGTTATGTTGTTAATAGTTAGGCGTAGCTAGCATTGAATTGTGACAGAAATGCACCTATTGTAGCGGATATATTAACGTTAAGGTGAAACTCTTACAGACAAAGACACGGAATTGAACCCAACACATGTGCTTCAAGTCTGGGAAAATAAGTCTGCTTAGAAACATCGCCACAGTGTCTAATAACTCATTTTTAATCTATAATACACTGTACTAATTACAAACAGGTACATATCAAGTACTTACCCTCAATATCAAGGATGCAGAACGATTAGACGCCGCTCACAAAACTCCATTGCGTGACGTGTTCCCGAACTTCCCGCCGCAGTGCTGAGCATGCGCAGTGACTCACCAGAGAGAGTTGTTGATATGAAGCGCCTCAGTCTCATTGAATCAACAAGTGCTGATCTAATTCATTTGATTATTTCTTAATTTAACTACAAATAACAAGAATTAATCATTTAACGGAAGTAAACTCGTTATATTCATATTAATCAGACATATTTGTATTTTGCAAATCAAGCAAGTGGCTAGTTGACTTTTTTGAGCGAGAAGATATTAAGCAGACAGTCTACTAATACTGTACTAACTGCTAGTTGACATGTAGTTGCAAAGTTACTTACTGTTAATAGAATGTCTATAGTGGACTATCGAAATAAAGTGTTACCTTGCAAAATGATGGAACTTAAAAAGAAGTTTAAAAGATCGAAGCCCCTTTCATGTCAGGCATCATGGTAGAGCTCTAAAGGATACCCATTCAAAGCTTTGATTTGTTTTGTTTCGTTTAGTTTCGTTTTCACAAGTTAGAAAACTGACAAAATGTTTGTGGAACATATATTATTAAGTGTGTGTACTTGAAGTATTTAAAGTATTTTTTAAATAATTTTAATCATCCAGCTGTTCTGTTTCATTTCTTTTATTCTTATTAATACTTGAACATTACATTACTATTCAAAGACTGCTGTCACAGATTCCCCATGTCATCCAGCAGCCAAAATTAATGGCTAAGGTTTTCAGCATTAAAGCCAATAAAATATTAGCAGAAGCTGCCTTAAGTTTGACTTATTTACCCAGAGGCCCATGATCATATTCTTTTGAAATGGGAGTTAAATGCTGCAAAAAAATAAAAAAATAAAAAAAAATCCCTGATTACCATATGCGACATCAACTGATTCTAAGATCAGGTGCATGTTAACTGCAGTGGATGCAATATTTTATCCTGCATCAAATTCATGCATATCTTTACAACTTCTTATTTTGTTTCAGGCATATCATTATTTTATATATTTTTAACATAAATGCTGGTGAATTAAAGGTGAACTTTTAAGTCAAATTATGTAAAACAGCCAAATGGCAATTACAGTGGGAAAAAATCCTGATGAGAATTATTATTATCAAGCTCTGAATGTACAGGTATGTGATATTTACATAATATAATATACGCACTTAGTTATATCACAGAACGTCCCTCATTCCCTGATGGAGGGAACGGAGACGTTATGTTGCGACGACATTAGGGGTTTATGTTGGGAGCCCAATCATCTCTGAGTTAAATAGAAAACACCATTGAAAATTGGCTAGTGGATTTTGCATGCTGAGCCACTCTCCATGCAGACGGGTATATAAGGCAACAGCATGCATCCACTCATTAGGTTTTATGCTGAGGAGCCGAGAATGTGTCCTGGCAACAGCGAGTGACTCAAGGTTGTGGCATGGGGACATAACGTCTCCGTTCCCTCCATCAGGGAACAAGGGTTACGTACGTAACCGAGACTTTCCCTATCTGTCGGTCATGCTGATCTAATTCATTTGATTATTTCTTAATTTAACTACAAATAACAAGAATTAATCATTTAACGGAAGTAAACTCGTTATATTCATATTAATCAGACATATTTGTATTTTGCAAATCAAGCAAGTGGCTAGTTGACTTTTTTGAGTGAGAAGATATTAAGCAGACAGTCTACTAATACTGTACTAACTGCTAGTTGACATGTAGTTGCAAAGTTACTTACTGTTAATAGAATGTCTATAGTGGACTATCGAAATAAAGTGTTACCTTGCAAAATGATGGAACTTAAAAAGAAGTTTAAAAGATCGAAGCCCCTTTCATGTCAGGCATCATGGTAGAGCTCTAAAGGATACCCATTCAAAGCTTTGATTTGTTTTGTTTCGTTTAGTTTCGTTTTCACAAGTTAGAAAACTGACAAAATGTTTGTGGAACATATATTATTAAGTGTGTGTACTTGAAGTATTTAAAGTATTTTTTAAATAATTTTAATCATCCAGCTGTTCTGTTTCATTTCTTTTATTCTTATTAATACTTGAACATTACATTACTATTCAAAGACTGCTGTCACAGATTCCCCATGTCATCCAGCAGCCAAAATTAATGGCTAAGGTTTTCAGCATTAAAGCCAATAAAATATTAGCAGAAGCTGCCTTAAGTTTGACTTATTTACCCAGAGGCCCATGATCATATTCTTTTGAAATGGGAGTTAAATGCTGCAAAAAAATAAAAAAATAAAAAAAAATCCCTGATTACCATATGCGACATCAACTGATTCTAAGATCAGGTGCATGTTAACTGCAGTGGATGCAATATTTTATCCTGCATCAAATTCATGCATATCTTTACAACTTCTTATTTTGTTTCAGGCATATCATTATTTTATATATTTTTAACATAAATGCTGGTGAATTAAAGGTGAACTTTTAAGTCAAATTATGTAAAACAGCCAAATGGCAATTACAGTGGGAAAAAATCCTGATGAGAATTATTATTATCAAGCTCTGAATGTACAGGTATGTGATATTTACATAATATAATATACGCACTTAGTTATATCACAGAACGTCCCTCATTCCCTGATGGAGGGAACGGAGACGTTATGTTGCGACGACATTAGGGGTTTATGTTGGGAGCCCAATCATCTCTGAGTTAAATAGAAAACACCATTGAAAATTGGCTAGTGGATTTTGCATGCTGAGCCACTCTCCATGCAGACGGGTATATAAGGCAACAGCATGCATCCACTCATTAGGTTTTATGCTGAGGAGCCGAGAATGTGTCCTGGCAACAGCGAGCGGTTCAAGGTT